AAGCGTTTTCATTTAGTAATCTAAATTTACGAAAAGTTTTGAATCTATAAACTAATTTTAAGTCAAATTATAGGTATTCGGTATAAAAAATGTCCGTGCGGAAAAATGGTCAAGCAGATATCAGGTTAGCGAAAATATAAATACGGAAAAATGTACCCTAATCCAAATAATAGGTACTTAAGTAAATAATACAATAAAAAAATTTCTAATTTTATGTAAATTAATCAATTTTATTCTAAAAAAATTTATGTAATCTTTGTTGTCCTTAATAGTAGTCTAAAAATGTTTAATTTACTAATAAATTTGAACTTTTAACGCATTCTGACTGCCTAAATCCAAAGTTTAAATATGGGTAAACGTAGAAAAGTGCAATGTGAAAGTTGTGGAAGTATATTTGACAACGATTTTAAGACCAGACATGAAACGGCTTGTCACAATGGAAAACGTATTAGAGTTAAGGAACCAGGGGCTCCTAAGAATCCATTTGTAGATGCACTTAAAGCTTCTAATAAGAATTTATAAGTGGCTTCATCAAGTTTATTGGAAAATGTTTGTATATAAAGTCACAATTAAAATATAGTTATTTCTGAACTCATACTTTGAGCTTAGAAAAAAATTAGATTAAATATTATAAATTGTCATGTTGGTTATTAATAATATTTAATAAGTTTAATACAATAACTTCACACCCATAGTTATTAAAATCTAGGCTTACTTCTAAAACTAGTCCCAGTTTTCCTCTGAATCTAAAATATCATTAACCATTTAAAAAGCAAATATAGTCTATTTTGTAAAATAGCTAATTGATGAATAATTTTGTTAGGTTAACTCAAAATTAAGTCCAACCTCCGATGTCCAGTCACCAATATCTGTTATTAAGGCTAGTGACAATGCACATGTTTCTGAAATTGAATTTATGGAAACAAATGCAACTCAAAAAGAGAGTGAAATAGTTGAGAGCGAATTAAAAGTCATTAATGAACTTAATCATTGTGTTTGCACTAATCAAAGTTCAGAAACAAATTTAGAATATTCAGATTAAACAGGAAACGTCTTTGGTTGTACTGGTCAGTTTAAAAATTTGAATGATTATAAAGATATGTGTAAACCAATAATTCAAAAACTTCATGGAGATGAAGTTGTAAATAGTTACAAGTTTGTAATTGAAGTTAAAGATGCTATAACACATGACACGGTACCGTGTTTCCTTCAGCCGCACATCACGTTATCAACCTCAATAAAAGTGTATCGGGATCTGAATCATAAGTGCACGATGGCCTAGTGGTAAGGTTTGTCTATACGACGCCTTGGGTCGCGGGTTCTAATCCCGTACCATGCTTCTTTTTTTTACATGATTTCCGGTACACTTTCTATAACCGGCCGTCAATCCTCGGCGACCGTGTTACACACATCCTTAAAACTTCCTCTTCCATAATGGACAATTTCAATGTCTTAATGACACAGATAGATACAGTTTCAGAAAATTTTACCGAAAATGATACTGTGAGTAGTAAAGTACATCATGATCCAGGACTCAGAACTAAAATAACTTCAGATAATCAAAGACAATACCTAATCATGCTAGGCCCACATCAACCAAAATTAAATATTTACCCAAAGCGAGTAGCACATCGTTTTAATCCATCTTGGTATATTGAATACCCACACTTGGAATATAGTACAACAAAAGACGCAGCTTACTATTTTGTTTGCAGTTTATTTCCTGATGTAGCTGGTCATCAAAAAAGTAAGGGATATTGGAACGAAATCGGTATAACTGGATGGAAAAAAATGAAAGGCTCCAGTGGTGTAAATAAAATTGGAAAATTACAGAAACATTTCATTTCAGAAGCGCACAAATCTGCATTGACTGCTTATTGCAATTACATGAAAAAATCGAATAACATTTTATGCTTGACAAAACAGTACGTGAGCGAAAAATTCAAGAAGAGAGCAATTAAAATTTTCACAAAGAAGTAATTTGTATCTTACTGGATGTAACCAAAACCCTCGCTAGACAAGGTTTAGCATTCAGAGGAAAAGATGATGATCAAAATGGTAACTTTAGACAAATTACTTATTATAAGTCTTATTATATCTGATATGTTTTCAGTAATGCAAGAAGTTTATGTATTTTTTTCTTTGAGTACAAAACGATATTCTCCATTACTGAACAAACTAGCTGATATTGAAACTCAGAAATTTCCCAAAGACTAGATGGATAACATGTGCTGAGGCAAATAAGTCTGTTTGGTCATCATATCATATAATTATTGATGTTTTAGATGAGATAACAAATACCAAGGATAAATTCGATAAATCCACCAGAAACGCAGCGTATTCTTTATCAAAACGTTTAATTTCTATACACTTTGTTGTAAATATTCTATTTATGAAAAATGTATTGTATAAGATATCGAGTGTCTCGAATCAACTGAACTTAACATAGCTGATACAATCATATTCATGTCAAGTACTCTAGAATCATTAAACATTATTAATTCTGATGTAGATGGTATGGATAACCTTATAAATACTTCAATTGAGTTTTTGAAGTCTTTTGATGTGGATGCTGAAAAAGAGTTTACAAGTTCGTCATAGACGCCGACTTGTACCTAAGCGCCTTGATAATAATAGAGATAATGCAGCTAATATGTCATTTAAAATATTTTATAGAAAAGAATATAATTCTGTGTTGAATGAGCGCACGTCACTGATGAAAAATCATTTGGAAAGTTGCATTGGTACAATTAAACCATTATATAATCTGTTCAACCCCCCATTATCAAGGAACAACTTAACTGAAACTGAAAATCAAGATGCAATGAAATTTTTACCCAAACAATTTGTTGTAGATCCATTACATTTACAGGTTGAGTTAGAAGTACTTTACGACCAATGTAAAGAAGTAAAAACTGTTTCAGATGTAGTTGCAGTTTCAGAACTATCAAAAAAAATGCTTCCCATAGCTAATAGAATGTCTCGTTTATTGTGTATAGTCCCAGTAACTGTAGCTGGAAATGAGCGTTCATTTAGTAAGTTAAAGTTGGTAAAAAATTACTTAAGGACAACTCAGAGTGACTCCCGTTTTAGCGATTTGCTATTACTTTCTACCGAAAAAGACATATTGGATGACATAAAATTATATTTTATTGCCAAAAAATGGTCAAACTTAAAAAGAAGAAGAATTTGTATTAAATAAATTTTTGTATCTACAACTCTATTTGTTTTTTAAAAGTTTTTTCTTTTTAAAAGTTAGTTGGCCAAATGGACTTAGTTACCCCCCTAAAAAAATGACATCGCTACGCCACTGTGCGTAGATATAATATTATGTTCTTATTAACAGACATGAATTATAAAAGATTTCTGTATGTATGATGAATAATATCTATATTAATAAAAAATGTGTAAAATATTACTAAACTTAATCAAACTATAACAGAATATTAAATCATTGATCAACTAACAAATATAATAAATAATAAGAACAAATTTTTTTTCCAAATTACAAGCCAACTAAAGGTAAGAATTAATAAAAAACAATTCGGCTTTTGTTGATAAAGTTTCTTTAATATAAGTATGGTAATTAAAAGTGGCATTGAATGTTCCGGTGTAAACCAATAATGATTTAATCCACGTATGTATTATGGATCAAAGCCCCTTTTGCAGCGAGAAACTTATGACCTTCACATATGTCTAACTCATGTAGACAACGTATCAACAAATATGGAGATGAAGTGAGCCCGTATGTAAGCATCTCAAATTGGAAGTCGTGTAGCAAGTGTCATGTAAATTAATAAATTAAATTAAACATATAAATTTGTCGTACGCATCGTAGAAATCGGTGTTTTTAGAAAGACGTTGTTCAAGATTATATAATTTTTTGAGGGCTAAATTACGAGATTCACGAGCTCGTGGTTAAGCGAAAGTACGTTTATGTCAGCATTATTAACCAGTAATTACAATGCTCACCTCTCTGTTGATTTTCAGTTTTTGAGGGTAATATTTCCCACTAGATAATAATTTTTTTCCATATTATAAACAAATTAAAAATAAAACTTAAGAAAATTATCGTTATTATATGGTTTGCAATATTTTCCTTCATGAAAAGTTTTCATAATCTATCCACTATATTTTTAATATTAATTCTATTATTAAATCGATATTTGAACAATTGCTAACATAATTATTATATAAAAAAGTAAACATATCTATTACATACATTTTTTTTTTTGTTAAAAATAAGATCAATTTGTTAAAAAATATTGGCCATACTACCAATTTAACCATTTTAGTATTTCGAATACTTGTAATATCATAATGATTTTAAAAATGACACTTAGATTCCTAACTTTGATATTATTCATTATAAATATTTTTCTTGGAGTTGGCATTGTTAATTGTTTCATAACACAAAAAGAGTATGCAATTTATTTTAAAGAAGTAACGAAATACATAAGTGATAAATTAACAAAGATAAACCTGGAACATATATCAGTTAGTATATCAAAAGATGAAATTATAAGCATAGAAGATGCCCTAAAATATAAAACAGAGAATAATAATGAATTATTAATTAAATATAACATCATAGTTGATTTTCTCAACTATTTATTTTCTAAAGAACTACAAAATTTTACCGAACACTTAAAAATAATTTCAGATGATTGTGACATTTTTTTTAAAGAAAATTCATTTGAGAATGCGACTTATTGCACAATAGGACTTTTCAATGCAGCTAAAAATTCAAATCTTATGTTTGAATATTTATATAAAGCTATTATATTTATTGACTATTTAGACGTAAAATTAGTGCTAAGAAACTCGATTCATCCAAAAACGATAGTAGAAGAAATTTATACTGTTAAAAACTATATCTTTTTAATGAAAACGCGAGAAATTTATAATTATGTAAATAATGACGGACGTATTGAAATAGAAGTACTTTTAAAAGACTTTATTGAAATAAATAATTTCGTTGATAAAATAGTTANATTGAAATAAATAATTTCGTTGATAAAATAGTTACAATAACAGATTCAATTAATAAAAAAAATGTTACTATTATAAATAGTAGAACGGAATTTAATTTACGAGAAAAGTACTATGGAGAATACATAAATAATAAGTCTGAAATGAATTTTGTCGATTTTGTTCGAGAAAAGCTATATCATTTTTGTTCAGAAACCATCAATACCTTTTATTTAAAAATTGGATTCAATCAGTTACTTAATCCTAATATAGCTGAGTAAGTTTTATTTTTTAATAAAAATATTGATGTCTACATCGAATTTTTTTTTTAGAGTAATTTTAAAAACAATAATAAACTTAAGTTAAATTGTGTAGTGTGAAATTGTATTTTAAATAGAGTACACCTTTTATGGTTATACATTTTTTTGTTAGGAAAAACCTTTAACAAAGATTTAGTAGACGAGTATTCACAATTACCGTTGAATACATGAACCTAACCAAACCAAGCTGACAACTGATCCCTGGTGTCTTTGCTTACCCACCCCAACTATCATCATGACAATTCGAATTGATAGTAAGCAGAGTTAAGACAAGACCGTATAACTGCTAGATCGCCATATGGTTTAGCTGTTTTGTACGAGACAACAATGTAGAATGACAAATAAATTTTATTCAATAAAATTTATACAATAATGATTTTTTGGTATATTTTCAGAGTTTAAATAAAAATAGTTATTGTTTTATTTTAGGCTCACACCTCCTCGAAACTACTTTTATCATAATAGAGCAATTAACATACTAAATACTTTGTTCCGTGAAGGAGATTGGAAGCTGTTAAATCATGTAAAAATAATAATTGATGATGAAATTATCACTACTAATCGAATTACTCGAGACAATGTAGATGATTTTAATTTTAATCTAAAAAAAAAGTATTTTTTTCAACTAATAAGGTGCAGATATACCGAAGTATTGAAAAAGTATAACATTTATATGTCTGCTATAATACAAATATGCAGATATGAAAAGATTATAAAATATATATATGGCTATGTAGATTGTATTATTCAATTTAATGATGCCATTAAAGATTCAAAAGAAATGTTTAATTATATGTTGTTAGCTTTAGATAAATTAAAAGCTGCATTTATTGGGAATGTGATGTATAAATCACATGCATGTTTAACAACAACCTATGGTTTATTAAGTAATTTCTTTCCTAAAATCGATCAGCTTAATTTTAGGAAAAATGATTTTATTAATCTATCTTTCAAGGAACAAGAAATGATTGTTGATAAATTTATATTTGATTTTCAAAATGCTCGAATAAATTTTAGTCGGCCACTTACGGACACACGTAATCCTGTTAATGAATGTTGCTTGATTGATGGTGAAATTTTAAACAAAAGTCAATTAATAAATTCATGGGAGTATATTATATCATCATCTAATAATAACATCACACTCGAACGTCCATTACGTTTGTATGAATACGCTTTGGAAAAATTTAAGACGTTTTTTAATATTGCTATTAAAAGTGAATACAACTGTTTAGGTTTCAATAAAATAACTATTAACAATTGAGGAAAGTTTTATATTTATCTTTTTTTTATATTAATGATCATGATAAAACTTTCAATCGCTTTTTATTAATTTAATAATTAAATTAAAACAATTATTGTTTTATTAAAAAATGTCTGTATTAATTTTTAATTTATATTTTTCAGAAGTATGAATTTTAGCTGATTAAATTATTTATGAATCATAGGAAATTTATCAGTATTTATTTATTCTAATTCAATGTTTTTAATGTTGTTTTAGTTGATATTATGTGATGTGTGTTTGTGGGGGCGCCTCACTTGCGCCTCCTCCGGCGCCTCACTTATAATCTCCCCGGCGCCTCACTTATAATCTCCTCCGGCGCCTCACTTATCAACTCCTCCGGCGCCTCACTTATCAAAATTATTAGCGCCTCCCTTATCAAAATAAAAATTCAATTTGATAACAAATAATAGCGCCTCACTTATCAAAATTATTAGCGCCTCCCTTATCAAAATAAAAAATCAATTTGATAACAAATAATAGCGCCTCTCTTATAATCTCATCCGGCGCCTCACTTTTCAAAATTATTAGCGCCTCCCTTATCAAAATAAAAATTCAATTTGATAACAAATAATAGCGCCTCAC